AAGGTAAACATTTGCCTGAAAATATGGGGCGCTGTTTTGTTTTCGTTCTGTTTCTATTTCGTTTTGTTCTGTGTATCCAGAGCTCTGGTGTATCTGATAATCTGTGTTCTGTGTCTGTGTGTCTGAGATTTTTGTAAGCCCAATAATGTAAGTAGAAATAACCATGTAATAATGAAGTTAAATATTCAGTAGCTATTTCGGCACAGTTTCCCATATGAGATGTACAAGTTGAAGTGGTTAATCAGTCGCACGACCTACCAGCCCATTCAGATCTATCTATATTCTAACTTTGGAGTCCGTATCATCAACCAGTACATAGCATACAATAAAACATTTCTGTGTGGGTGTGTGTATTTCACTGTGTACTTGCCAAACAAATGGTTAATGTGTTACGTGTAAGCATGATTGTACATGTATTTGTATTGACATCTCAACCATAAAAAAACAAACATGTGCAACAACTAAACTCTCTATATAACACCTTACACATAACACTACTGTACTGCCTACTGGTAACACATGCATCACAGTCACTAAGCCCGCGCGTAGCGCGGGTTTCAGCTAGTATAATATAATAGGCTTTCATCAGTAGTCACATAGATGCCATTTAGACTACAACTTTCTATTAATCACATAAGGTGTAACTCGTTCTATGTTGCTGTTGCAGGTCGGTCAGATAAAAGAGAAATATGACCACAAGCAGTTGCTCAAGCACATGCCGTCCGAGATGAAACTGTTCCTTGACCATGTGGCCCAGCTGGACTACTACAGCCAACCGGATTATTCCCACTTGCACTCCCTCTTCCAGCAGGTAAACAGAGTATATAATTCATTGCCCTTATTTGCGCTTCCCTTTCAACAGGGTAAAAAATACACGGGAGCGATGAGCGATTCGCTCTTCAAACCTCTGAAAACGCTCCCGTGAGGCTCAAAATAGCTCCCGTAAAATCTTTGACAAGAGCTATTTTTCCCTCAGACTTGAAAAATAGCTCCCGTGAAAAAAAAGTTATTTTTTCCCTGCCTTTCAAGCAGGGAAGCACAACATGCAATCTATATACCCCATGCTTGAACCTCCTTGTCCTAGGCATCACACTCTGTTAGCTAATAATTGTGTTTAAACCATTATCTTGAACAGCACATGATTGTCCAGCAGTTGTTCACCTTATTAAACCTAGCTGAAATCAATTGTCCAGCATGAGCTCTGTGTGTAATTCACTACTCTGCCAGCATTTCCTGTTCCTATACTGTTTCTGTTTTATTGAGTTCATGAAAGGTGAAAGTAAAATGGTTAAAACACTAACATGAGTTGATCTACTATATATTATAAGCCAAGAAGAAGAACTCCTGGTTGCCTTTATTGATAAGCTTTTATGTTCTAAATAATGCATCCTTGGCAATCTCAGCATTGTCACCTATATGAATTTAATTGCAGGCCAGTCATTTGCCCAGTCGGCAGTGCCAAAAATTTACAGAGGTACTAGTAAAAAATAGGAAAATAGTAAACATTTAATTGTATTCCTGCTGTTGTCCTGTCGTATTAACTTCAAAGCTGATGCTATTTCCTTCAGTTTATATGTATTGTTAAACCTATTTTTCAGTGCATGAAGAGAAAGGGTATCAAGTTCTCGGATGCTTACGACTGGGAGAAGCCGTATATTGATGGCTCCTTAACGACAACCACCAGTACCAGTCCACCTGTAGCAATCAAGGACACTCAGGGACAACTCGGGTACCTACCATTGTCAGTCTTCGCGGCATCTTATCTTGTCAGATTTTATTCAGCATTAAGTCAAATTCGAAAAATGGGAATTCTATGCTTGGTTGTTGTATCCACAAGCTTGTGTATGCTTGCGTCTAAAGCGCCGTCTGCCTTTATGCCACCAGGGTGCTCGGTAGGACCGAGGACGTCTTCGATGAGAGCGCACCGGACAAAGCCAATCCAGACGCGAAGAAGATCATCAGGCCGGAACATTCCACGAAGGAGAAGCCGCTGAAGGACATCAGTCAGCCGGAGAAGAAGGACTCGCGACACGAGGAGGACAACCGGGCGAAGGCGGAGCTCATCGACATGCTGCACCATGCCAACGGCAAGGAGAAGGAGGATCTGCCGGAGAAGAAGGTGAACGGTGAGCTGCTGCTGCCGCCCCCGGACAAGCTGCGCGACCGCTCGCGCCGCAGCGACGCCGACGGCGACGTCTACACGGAGGTCAGCTTGCCGCTGGCGCCCAAACTCGCCGCACCGCAGATGACCGCGAGCTTCAACGAGGCGTTTGCCGTCGCCAACGTCGCGCTACCGACGCCGAGCAAGGAGGAGGACGCGCCGAGGTCCGGCGTCCGCGGGAAGGGGAAGCCGAGCGGCGAGTTTGGGGCGGAGGCGAAGGTCGCGCAGAGCGACGTCGACGTCAACGTGAACATTGTGATCCCGGCGAGCGATGTCGCGGGGCCGCGCGTCGCCCCCGCCGACCAGCAGCAGGAGAAGGCAAAGGAGGTGAGCGCCAGCTTCAGCCTGCCCGTCGTCAACATGCCGCCGGTCGACATCAGCGCGAGCCACGCCATCGCCATGGCCGAGACGGAGGCGGCCTCTATGCACCAGAATGCGTACCGCACGATGGCGCTGACGCTCGCCTCGCGCTGGGCGATCGATTCGAGCGACGAGGAGGACGACATGGAGGAGATTCAGACCGGCAAGTGGGAGGACCCTACGTTCAAGCAGGCGCCCTCGATGGCGGCCATGGAGGCTGACGCCACCGTGAAGGTGACTCGCTCTCCCGTCAAGGTGCCCTCGTTTGGCTCGGCGAAGCAGCTGATGGTGTCGAAGCGCGCGGCTACTGCTCCGTATCTGCGGCGGCGCAACACCGGCCCGATGCGAGGTAAGGATAAGGACAAACGCCGGAGCCTGCCTCTAGAGGATGCAGATAACAGCGGAATGCCGAACGGCGCTGCGGACGCTGACAAGGTTGATCGTCTGCACCCGCTGGACGAGCAGGCCGCATTCAGCGATGATCTTCGCCTACGAACGGTGAGCACCGGCGCCATCTATGACGAAGTTCAGCTACAGGTGCCGACGGCTGGCGAGAAGGTGCCGCCGTCCGACTCGCTGAAGCCTAAGGGCATCCTGCGCAAGTCGCAGACGTGGGTGGACTCGTGGAAGGTGGGCAGCAGTGACTGCATATCGGACGGCTTTGACCGCTTGGCGCCGGACGGCTTCAGCAAGCAGCTGCGAGAGCAGGCGACTGCGAGCCCGCTGAGCTTTACGTGCAACGAAACCGATTCTAGTCAATTGAAGCAGCAGAGTGGTGCTATTGGTACCAACGTGGAGGTGCCCACTGTGGCGGACACGGGGCAGCCGAGCTCAAAGTTACGGCCCCTTGGCGCGCAGGCGGAGAACGTGTTAATTTGTGATAAAAGGCAAGGCCGAAATAGTCGTGACGTAGCTGTGACGCAGGCACGGGCTTCTGGTGGCAATGAACAGATAGGCCTAGCAGCTGCTCCGTTTCATGATGCTCAAATGGTGCTTGAGGAAGATGGGCAGACATCTTTGGCTGAAAGGGACCTCGATGAAATGCCATTCATACCTGTTCCTAACATTGTGTATCCCGAGGTTAGTCAGCCAGCTGATATGTCTGTTAACAGCTCAGGACAAAGGGAAAGTACTGCTGGTGAAATAGGTGTAAAAATAGATGCATCCAAAGAATTGAGCAAAGAGTCTAAATCAAATGAGGTAACGAAGAAGGATGTAAAAGACGAGGAAGACATAAAAGGAACGGAGGAGGAGTTAGAAGAAGAGGAGGATAAAACACCAAATGGTATGGAGAGGCAGCTTGTTTCTAGAGATGCAAAGGAGGAAAAGAGTGAAAACAGTGAAAAGGAGGAAGAAGACGAGAAAACGGCAGGTGAAAAAGAGATGGGACCATTCGAACTGAAAGAGCAGATAGAAATAGAAGAGGTGAGAGTAAGTAAAGACGATCACACTAAAGAATGTGAGCCCATCATTTCACATGTAGTAGCTGAAACCAAAACCACAGAACATGACATGGGGGGAGTTAAGACACGTGCAGATACTGAGATAGAACTAACAAAGTGCAATGAAAATAGTCCTAAGAGTGAGGCAAAGCGAATATCAGAATATAAAGAGAAAGGCTGCATGAAACCAGGTTGTGAAAGGTGTGAGGTGACTGCGAATGTTAACAAATTACACTTAGAGAAGGAAAGCTCTAGACACCCTGTGAATGAGTTGTCGACATCAGATGACTGTAGATCTGCGGAGAGCGTGCCACAACACTCTAAACGCGAAGGGCGTGGAATTGATGTGACAAATGAAAAGGGAATTAGTAACAGTGATGCCAGACATATGCCAGAGTCTAAGGTAGGAAACTTCAAAATCAATAAGGAAATTATAGTAGAATCACAGACAGGTAAACATAAAACAGTAAAAGCCAATGAAGCCAGTGAGTCTGAAGAACATAGCCGTAAACATCAAATTGATCGGAAAATAGCAATCTACGAAGGTAAGGCCGATATGTCGCCAGAGCATAAAGATTTAAACCAGCAGAGTACGGATGAACATGCATCACACTCGAAAATAGAAACCAATAACAGTGATGTAAAGAATGCTGATAAGAAAGGCTGTAAATCTCTGAAAGAGAGAGAAGAGCAGTCTAAAAACGAAGATGATGCAGTTAAAACAGGTGACCCCTCAGCATCTAAAGATGAACATGGTGAAACTGTACAGGTGATTCCTAAGGAAACGCCAGCCCTGCCATCTCTTAACCAGGAATGTGGTAATGATGCAAAGCACAGTACTGATCAGTGTACAGATATAAAACATATAAGGCAGAAACAAATTGAGGCGTCACGAAAAATATCACCGTATGCTGATGACTCAGCAATAGAAAGCTGCACGGACACCGATAGCATGGGAAAGAAGGATGTGACCCCTGCAGCCAAGGTTGTGAGCCATATTCCGCGTCCGACCAGCCTCACACGTGGAGGACCGAGCTCAAGCGACAGCTCTGACCGAGAAGAGATTGGCAGGCGTAGTGAGGCAAGAGAGAACACTCAGGAAAAAGTACTCGGAGAGAAATCTCACGCTCAGTCAACCGTAGCCGCACAGAAAGTTTGTTTGCGCAGTCGTGCGGCACCAGCGAATAGGGACATTGCGCACCGACCGAACGCCGCACGTTGCACTGAGCATGTGCAGAACATGAAAGCTACATTAGAAAAAGCAGCAACTAGCAGCACGCTTGGCAGTCCACTGCGATCTTTGGTTCGTTCTCGCGCGGCGGTGGCAACGCTGGGAGCTTCCAGCTGTGAATCACCGGGTGTGTCGTCAGAGTCTTCCCTGAGAGAGCATGAGTCGATAAGTAACACTAAATCCAGCAGTATCCGCCCGATGACTAAAAGGACCGTTTCAACGACGAGTCCGAAAGAGGCAGCTCAGAGATCCTCAAGGTATCGAAATTCTGGCGCTGCGAAAGTTAGCAGTCTTCTGACTGCATCTAGCGTCACCGTGGCTCCTGTCAAACTTCTGACGGTGCAACCACTGCTGCAAAAGCCCAGCGACGTCAAAACGTCAGTTGAAGATGAGGAGTCTGAGTCAAGCAGCAGTAGCAGCAGCAGCAGTACCAGCAGCAGCAGTACCAGCAGCATTCCGAAAATGACACCTCCGGTTATTGTGGAAGAGACCGGCACAGCACACAAACAGCGGCCCCCTCATTCCCCTGAGCTGTTTGCACCTGAATGCAGCACGCCTACACCAAGTAAAAGGACGATAGAGCGTGAAAGTTTGTCGGAAAGCTCCGCATCGGATGACGTTAAGTCACCAGCCGATTTAGATATGCCTGTGATAAAGAGGGTTCCGCCTTTGACAAGTGCTTCCCACCATAGAACGAGAAGTGCTCCAAAGTCTTCGATTCAGAATGCATCTCAGCAAAGGGCGCCAGCTGTCGTAAACCCTGCAGTGCAGCAAGCTAAGAATACGGCCCATGAGGGAGCGCCAGCTCTTGTGACCCCTGCTGTTCAGCAAGCCAAAAATATGCCCCAGCAGAGGGTGCCAGCTGCCCCTGTGATGCAGCAGGCCAAGGGTGCATCCCAACAGAGGGCGTCAGCTGTGGTAAAGCCTGCAGTGCAGCAGGCTCAAAGTGCATCCCAACAGAGGGTGCCAGCTGTGGTAAAGCCTGCAGTGCAGCAGGCTCAAAGTGCATCCCAACAGAAGGTGCCAGCTGTGGTAAAGCCTGCAGTGCAGCAGGCTCAAAGTGCATCCCAACAGAGGGCGCCAGCTGTGGTAAAGCCTGCAGTGCAGCAGGCCAAGAGTGCATCCCAACAGAGGGCGCCAGCTGTTGCAAAGCCTGCAGTGCAATCGGCCGAGATTGTAGGAGAGCCTGTAGTGCACGATGTCCCAAAGCCTGCAGTACAGCAGGACCAGAATGCATCACAGCAGAAGCTAGTAGATAAAGTCAATCCCGCACCATTGCATCATTCAGGGCAGCTAGATAAATCTAGCTTTGCTCAGACAGTTCCAGTTAGTGAATGTGCCACTAGTACGGCTGGGCTAAGCATGATCAGTGATGCAAGTGAGAGAGTGACTATGGCTAAAGAACAATCGACGACGGCACAAGCAGCTAAGAATGCAACCAGTGCAGTGAGTCAGACTGGAGCACCACCAGCAGCAGCAGCTGGGAGAGTGACTACTACAGCAAATCGGGCAGCTGGTGATACTGAGGGCCAAGCCCACCAAGATTTGGGTGCCAGTCTAACAGCTGTGGATTTCTCGCAGACGGGCGACCCGGCTGTTCAAGTTGTGACACCTGATGCCTTGCCTATTGGTACCGCCTACAGCAGCAAACCTGTGATTGCTTGTCGCAAGTCTCCCATTGAGTCGCGGCATGGAAAACCTTCGGAGGAGCACACTAGCAGTGAGAGCTGCGACAGTGAAATCGAAGGACTGTTAGCGCAGAAGAGATATGGCGGAAGCCCCAGTGTTCCGCCCCGTGCTGCCCCACCGCCCCACCCGGGAGTGCGCATGAGAAGCTCTGATGGCAAACCTTTAAAGCTGAAACTTACCACCCACATGGATCGGCATGGCGAGAGAGATTTCACGCCGCCGTCCGGCACCCCTGAGCTATTTTCCCCCGATGACCCGCGCCACCCTCCCAGGTGCGAGAACCCCTACCCCCTCGACTTGTCTGATGGTGGGTCGCCACTCATGGTGGCATATGACTCGCAGCTGTCTCTGCTGTCTGGCTGCAGTGTGGAGGATGAGTCAGGCATGACTCCACGACCCCCGTCAAGGGATGGACCGAAAACTGGCTGTATTCGGTGAGTAAGCTCGGCTCTATGTCATTTAGAGTACACACACATACATCGCCGTCATTAATGTGCCAAGATTAATGTATCTATATATGATATGCATGCATGTGCGTGCGTGTCTTTGTAAAAGTTTATTTGTGTGATTGTAAAAGTTGAGTGTGGCAATTTAAATGAATTCTAGTTTAACAACTGCAGTCTCTCTTCCACAGGAGGCGGAAATATAGAGCTGCTCGACCTCCGACCCCGATGAACGTGCATCAAGGTACAAGATCACGAAGCCCCAGCCCCGAGGACTAAGACACGAGGCTTCTGTTTTTCGACTTCGCCTAACCCTCACCTCGCAATTCAGTGTCAGTGCCCTATTAGAATGCTGCTTACTGCGCTTGTGGCTGCCGCCGAGGTGCAGGTGTTTAATACCTGCAACAACGTGAGACCGGTGTTGCCAGCAGCCATTACAATATTTCTATATTGCTGGAAATCTCTATGTACTATATATATATATATATATATATATGGACGCCGTCGCAGCTGTCTGTATTCTTGCCGCCTAGTTTCACCACACCTATGTAGCCTGTTAGGTTCTTATACCGCCATCGGTGAACATTAAGGACAGATGCCTATAGCTTGTTGGCTGTCTCCTCTGCTTCACTGATGGTCCCAGTTGAACAGGGTTGTGCAGATGGCAATATAATACTCAGTATGGTCGTTGCAGTATGTATCTAAGAGATGTTGCAGACAAGTGGAGATGTTGAGCATGTCTTTCTGTGTCATATTGCTGTGCGATTTTATGCAAGAAGCAGCTTTCTCACATAGAGATGCGATTTGTGTTTTTACTGAGCGTCCCTTGTAGGACGGGATGCTCAAAATAGCCATGCTCATTTTAATAATTTATCTTGTTTTCTTTTTCGGACGTGTATTGTTTATCAGAGTGTGTTTTAAAAGAACGTACAGTTGGATGCGTTTTAGCTTTGCGATTACTCACGTTTGTACATTAGGTGGCTGAGGTCAGTAGACCCGTGCTGTTGGCTTCACAAAGAAATTGTTGTTTATTGTACCTGTAAATAGAACAAAATGGTTTTGTACAATTGTAAATTTTAATTTAAATGCGTATCGTTGCCAAAGACTTGTTTTTTTGTTGAATTTTTAATGCGGTACGGTGATGAGTGGCTCCCTCTCCCGGCTTGGCTATTCAGTGATGTTGGGCTGAATGAGTAAATGAGTCTTTCATTTAAAAGGAAACTGTAGTTTCGTCCCCGGCAATGTTCACTTGTTTGTTGTAACTGCTCACGTCGTTGTGTGAGATGATGGGCATAACTTGTGTTCATTCTGTCGACAGCAGCAACTGTTCATATTAGTATTGGACATGTTTAATTTGTGGGTGAAACTGCATTTCTACTTTATTTCATTGCATATTGCAATATTCAGCGGTTTATAAATTTTACAGTCTGACAGACAGGCTTCTACAGGGCAACTTGCAATGTTCTATGTAAATATAGCAATTTTGTAAGAAAAGTAAGCAAGAACTTGAACTCTTCCACAATATTGTGGTCACCTTCCATTCGAGTCCCACATGCCATAAAAAGAAATAATAGCCGTGTCTGGTAATTTATACTACTATCGTTTAGCATGCTAAATTATCACTATAATATCAGGAGTGCATAAAAACATCGTAAGTGAAAGTATAGGCTTTAGATGAGAGATGTTCACATTCTACTGTTATTCACCAATCGATGTCAAGCAACCTTTAAATCCGGTGACAGCATATACTAACGATCTCACTTGTAACTTAAGCTGGCCTCGAAGCGGGCTACACATCAAAAGATCATGTAAACATATCTTATAAATTCGTTTTAAGTATTAGGAAATTATATTTGGCTAAAGTTGCCATATTTTAACCGAGTCATATTGGAGTAATATAACTAGTGGAAGAGGCTATTCCGCTGGCGAGTTCCTCAGCTGGTGCTGCACAGCACGAGTTACTAGTCTAATTAAATTTCATGCATCGGCTGCGAATCCACGGCGGGAGCTCGGATGTATTGCAGGATACGTGCTGCATCATCTATGCGCTCCTCTCGCATACAGGTGACACGCAGGCTCGTTTCTGGCTGTACCTTCCAACTTTGCCACGGCTCACACTGTCGTCTATACGTGTACGGAGGACCAGTTTTAAATTCTGCCAGTCGGCCATAGTGTACATGAGTACACATATAGTACGAGAGTAAATTTTGTCACATTGGCCAGATTTGTACTTGGTTCTGTCGCGCATGCGCAGATTCCAGCGGTCACATCAAGGCAGTGACATATTTTGTTCAGATGTTTCTTGACCATTTTCATTTTCACATTTAGCGATGTGATTTCATCTATCAGTAAAGCTAGGAGCGAAATCGCTTCAGAGTCATGGAATTTTGCGAAGTTATGGAACGTTCAGGGATGATATGTAAGAAAGGTTATTTATGTGAAACCAAACCCAGTGCTACATGCGACATGCAGATATAATCAAATATATCCATTTCCAGTGAAAAACGAAAGCCTCGTGTTTTTCGCATAGTCGGCACTAATCTGGAATCTTCAGCATTTAGGCCTACTCGCTCCTGTTTACTTAATTGGTGATTATATATGCTACAGTGTAATAAGTTATGCTTGTATAAAATAATACCTGTACTATGTTTTTCACCAATAAATTCATAAATGAGGCACTAGAACTTGAAGTGATCGTTCCTATACTAGCTTTTGATTTTAGTTACGAAGTAGTGGTTATCCAATCAGCTTTCCTTCTCTTGTCCGTTTAGTTCCAATATTACACATTTCTTACTTATTGCCTATTCCATCAGTATTATATACACACGTCAGCTTTCATTGAAGAAACCATCCAATCATATTTGTTTAGTAATGCTACGGTATATAACCTAGGTACGCTAGATTCCGGACACCTCAGTTTACTGCAGCATCGAATAAAATGTACATGACAGATATGCGCGCAGTCACGCAAGTATGCGCGATCGTACCCCCTCACATCCACACAAACGCGCGCGCACACATACACGCGCGCGCGCCGGATAACCTTAGCCACACGCGCGAGCGCGAGTGTTTACTATTTATTTTCATGATCCGGCAACTAGTTACTAAATGAGAAAAATATTATTGATATTTCAAAATTATTTTTAATATATTCACATAAGCGAGCAATCTTTGAAATGATATAACCCACTCATATTATCAGGAGTGTACAATATAGTCTATATTATACTAGATCTATTAATTAGATCTATATTATACACTTCTGATATTATGTATATATAGTGCATATATTGTTATCGGATTATTAACGCTGCTGGCGCATTCTTGGCGCTTGCCAACTACTATGGGTATACGTTTGGCCTCTCATTACTGGCTGGATAAAACATAATATTATGGTAAATTATGAAACAATAACTTGAGGCACGATTACTTCAGTTTTCCCTCACAATTCACGTATCATTATCTCGCTTTATCGAAAATGTATGCTTTATTTTGATTACTTCATAATGCAATAATTTGATATATACCCGTACATGTTCACGATCTATTTCCATATTCATTAACGTATATTTATTTTTTTATTTTTACTTTAGATTCGATTGTACATTTGTATATGTGGGTATTGTTTCATCCTGTATTTAGTTTCTTCCAATTTAAGTATTATCATGTTGTATAATCAAGAGTTAATTGCTTTCTATTGTGCGTGTTTTTGCGTATTTATCACACTTGTCTATTTTAGTTAACCGTTTTATCTTCGCGCGTATTACGTTATTATACAACAAGTTGACATGTGCGGGTCTGACTAGAAAAAATGATCGCTTTGTGCACATTATTGTGACATGTGAATATATTGAAAATGCTGACGGCGTAAATAAATTTCTCGCAATGTGAAATTTAAAATTGGTAAAATCTTGCTATCACAATTTTGGTAATATCTCGGGTCATTGCCAGAGCTGTGCATGAAGTACGTATGTATTTTGTCACGGACTGAACGTGATTAGCTTCGTAATAGTCCGTGGCTCTCCGTGCGTTTTGTACCATTAACGTGATTAAAGTCCGTGTTTTATCAGTTTATTCCAGTTCACAGTGATACAAGTTACATCCATCATAGCTTCACATAGGTGTTCACAACTTTAGGTGTGGGGGTCGAGGGCGGCGGGGGGCGGCAAAATTTAAACCTGTTTACGGCTTGACCTATGTACGCTTTTCACATTCAGAATGCGCGTTACTGCGAGAAAATTTATCTTCAGTAGCTTGTGTTCAGTAATATTCGAACACAACAACGCGCATGCGTGTGTGTGTGTGTGTGTGTGTGTGTGTGTGTGTGTGTGTGTGTGTGTGTGTGTGTGTGTGTGTGTGTGTGTGTGTGTGTGTGCGCG